GCTCAAACTTCTTGCCGTCCTCGTCATGAACCTTGTGGAGACTGGCGAAAACCGGCACGGAGGGACGGGAACAGAGACGCTGGGCTGAGCACGGATGTGTGAAAGGACGCAGCAGCAGCGGTAGCAGGTGGTGGTGGTGGTGGTGCTGCTGCTGTGAGGCGTGATGCGGATGTGGGTTCATGGATATATAGCAACGCACGTTTGCAGTGGGGGTCTAAGGCTGTACTATACAAGGGAATGCAAAACCTCATACACAAACTGAGAGCCGACGAGCGCGGGGCTCGGGATGCGGAGGGACTTGAGGGGCCAATCTTTCCCGGTTTCCACAGGTTCCCGAGAGCTTCTTTCCGAAAGCTTCTTTCCAAGTACATTGTTTGAGTCTAGTATGCCAAACTACGAACCACCACCACCGCGCTACCAACATTTTCACTGCCTCGATGACGGCCTCCCGACAGGTCATCTCCGACAGCTTGAGCTTCTCGATCTCGTTCTTGGCGGCCTGCCGGCCCTTGCCCACAGCCGTGCCGAAGTAGCGCTGGAGAGGAAGGGCGTACGTGGAGCAGGCGAAGAACAGAAGCGACACAGGAACATGTCACATACCGCGGGGCAGTAGCAGCAATACAGAAGCTCAGCCGCAAGCGCAGTCCCAGGGAGGTCGAGCCCGAGCCAATGCCTAGTAGAAAATAAAAGATTAACCGAGGGACGGCAACAAAACACAACAGGGGAGACAGGGCCTGCATATACCTAGTCCTACCACGGGGGTTACCTGCGGGAACCCCCAAGTGTCAGCCCGGCATGGCCCCCCAATCGACACAGCACCCTCTCAGCCCCACCTCGACCCACCAGCGATGAACCAGACGGGTCGATGGCGTACAGCGCCGGTCCGTTCTTGTCGTACACCGCCATAAGGACCGTGGCGCCGTACGGTCGTAACGACCAGTACAGGTTAAACATGTGCGCGTAGCTGCCCACCCGCTCGCACAGCACGTGGCCTGGAATGGGCTCGCCGTACACGCGCTTGTACGAAGCCGCCTCGTCCCAGGCGCGGTTGGCCACCATGCGACCATCCGGAGCGAGTCCTGCCACGGCCTGGAACCACTCGGATGGAACGGTCAGCACGCAGACGTGAGCCGAGGAGACAAGAAGAGTACATAGACAGATGGACCACCAGCAAGGAAAAAAGAGTCATATGTCACAAAGGTTTTAGGGTGCACGATGCACGAAGACAGGAACCTGTTTACTTCATTTTCGCGGCCCAGGAACCCCCTGGCTCGTCTGGGCCCTACAAGCTACCAACCTGGTCGCATCACAGACGCCAAGTCATCATCAACACCCAAGTCCATGCCCTTTTTCAGAAATCCAAATAGAAACCCGCCTACTGACAACTTTGATAAGGCCCCTGCACCTGGCCTTTCAGATAACCACAAGCTCACCACGCCGACGTGTCGGTCGATATTGTGTATTCTGCGGTTGGATCCCTCTACTAGAAGCTTCGATAGCACCAGCTTCTCGCAGGCCTGCGAATGAGATCGCAGAAAAGGATGTCACCCTTTTATCAGGGATTGAACGAAACGCGCTATGCATTCACAGGCTCTCGGGCGGAAAAAATCCAAACGGGTGATGGATTGTGGTCCTGGAAGCAGCCAATGATGGCATGCGCCGGATGGCTGGCCTTGAAGGCCCTGGTCCTAACCCCATCGGCGCGGCCCACGGCCCGGGCCCAGCCGGCTCGACCCAACATACCAGCACAACGCCATCTTTGCACCTCAACCCGAGCACGGTGCTGTGCGAGTAGGGAGAAATTAGGAAGGGGGAAACAGGAAGGGGGGATGAGATGCAGCAGTACTGCTTGACGGGGTGAAACAGTGAAGGTAGGGACGCTGAAGGACGCCAGCGCGCCAGCACCACTACACCAACCTGCTGTTGTCCACCGCTTTCTGTGCATACTCCGTCTGAAAGATCTTGCCATCAGGTGAGTAGGTTGTAGCTGAAAGGTCATACTGCGCGGCGCCCAAGTCGAGCATTACCGAAAGTAAGCAAAGCTAATTTTAACCTATCCCAGCGTAGGAACCAGCCGCGTACCCCTGTGCCGATGCCCGACATTTTTTCGTCCGCCGCTCCACCGGCACAGAGGCGTTAAGGACAAAGCACGCGTGGAAGATCTGCCGCTCAACTACTCGATGACCTTATACGAAGTAAGTATCTCAAGAGAACAAATGAATAGTGCAACCTGTGCATCTAGTGTACACGACACGGCACAACCAGCTGAAGCTGTAGAGTGCATTGGCTGAGGCATGTTACGGCAATTACGACAGTTCAAGTTAGCTCTGGACAGCCCTTGGTTTCTGCACCGTTGCTTAGTAACATGTTCCATGAATATCTTCATATTTCTTTGATAAATGCATGAAATGGATGCAACCGTCCACGCACCGCTAGGGGGATCCCGAGTGCATGGGCTAAAGTCTGAGGTTTTGACCGAATTAGGGCTACATCAAGAAGCATCAAAGCACGAGAAAGGAGCGCTGCTTGTGCCTGTGCGCGTACATATCGATAGGGAGGATGGCGAAGACGTCCGTGAGGTGGGGCACGCACTTAGCACACATGACTTGCTGTTTAGGAAGTACCTCGGTGTTTATTTGAACAAAACCCGCTGCTATTTCGCAAATCCTCCTGTCACTTCTGTCTTGGGCCCATGGTACCCTCCTTTCGCCTCGTGTGCCTTGTGCAGCAATTCCTCTGGCGCCTTGGAGGTGCGACTGGCGAAAGGATGATCACGCAAATCTAAGAGCTAGTTGAAAAGCTTATTAGTTTACTTCGTGGCTGCTTGGACTGGGGGAGTACGAACAGGATTTCACCATAGCCAGCTTTAGCCCAGGACCCTCTTAGTGGCCAGCCCGTGGGGTCGGGGGCCGGGCTTGGTGGCCTTGTTACGTTTTACAAGCAAACTCACGAACAAAGCTCCAGGTGTCGCCAGGGGTGCCACGGTAGCACCACACCATTGCACTCAGTGAAAGCAGATGCCGCAGCTCAGGTGCAAGGTATGCAAGGCATGCCAGTGCCAGCGAAACTGCGGTGATGAAATTCGCTATGGCCACACACGGAAGCGGCGGCAGCCTCGGAAGGGGTGCACGGGCGAGAGTTCAGCGGCTCTGTTACACGTCACAAATTCTGCACGCATGTGCGGGGGTGTCCGTAAAAGCCCTGAGGCCATGGGCGTCATATTGGTATTGATGCGGGTACACGCTGTGTACGGCTCTGTGTGCGCACAATAGCATGCGCATGCGCGGGGTGCTGGCGAACTACTGCCGGCTACTAATCTACCCCCTTTGCTGCACGAGCAGTAGCAGTGCCTAGCAGCAGCTGCAGCTGCTGCTGCTGCTGCAGCTACCTCACCACCACCAGTGCCTACTGCACGGATGCTACGGCTCTCGCATTCATAGAAGGTGTAGGCCGAGTCTGATTGCTGTCGCAGCAGGCCGTCAGCTACCACCAAGAGAACTGCAGCAGCAGCAGCTGTAGCGGCGGCTAAGAGGCGGTCAACGAGCTCAAGTTGCCATTTGTGCACACGCCTCTGAAGTC